TGTACCAGTCAGATCTGATTTGACGGTACACTCACACAAAAAATAATAAAATAAAAATGAAAAAAAAAGAAAACAAAGATTTTCACCAGTGGGCAGATTGGCAGCATCGTGATGAATGGTGAAGAGATTGAGATTGTTAAACAGCTTTAGTTTTCTTGGCTCCACAATCAACACTCTTGGTACCAGCAGCCAGGAAATAAAGAGACAAACTGCGTTGGGAAAATCTTCTGTTGGGAACCTCTCCAGAGTGCTGAAGAGCAACAATGTCAGGCTAGAAACTAAGGTGCACCTGATCCAGGCCAGAGAGCTGGACAATGACTAAGGATGACAGAAGAATCTATGCCTTTGAGTTGTGGTACTGGAGATGAGTCTTGAATATACCATGGATCACCAGGAAAATAAACAGATCTGTCTTGGAGAGGGTGAAACCAAGTTTTTTCTTGGAGGCTAGGATTTTGAAGCTCCATCTCACATACTTTAGGCACACGACCAGGAAAGACCAGTCCTTTGAGAAGGACATCATGCTTGGAATGGTGGAGGGACAGTGAAGGAGAGGAAGACCCTAGATGAGATGGATTGATACAGTGACTGGGGCAATGGAGGTTGGTGTGTCAGAGTCTGTGAGACTGGCTCAGGACAGAGCTGCTGTACATAGGGTCACTATGAGTTGCAGGCTACTTGCCGACACATACAACAACAACAATTAAAGATAACAAAGCCTCTGACTGCAGCATGAAGGACAGAATGAGGGGTGGGTCTCAGGGCAGGCCAGTCTGGGAATGGCCAGCAGATACTCTTGGGGCGGGGGTGGGGGGTAGGTAGAGGGTGTGGACAGATGCAGAGAAGCAAATGACCTCTGGGGATTGGCTCAAGCCATCTCTCTGGGCTCAGTGTCTGCAGCTCCTCTCTGCCTCCTGCTGAGAACTGAGCAAGCTGATTGGTGAGAGAGAGGTACAAGGAGAGGTAGGGAGGTCTGGAGTCCCACAGCTAGATCAGAACTCGAGAGCTGCCAACCCCAAAGGCTGAGCCTCTCTTGGTGGTTCTCCTCCGGTAGGAGCTGGTTAGGACTTTGGGGGGCGGGGGAGAGAGAGAGAAACTCTGCTGTTAGGATTCACATGTGACAGAGTAGGGCCTTCCACAGGGGTTTCTAGGCTGCAACTTTAGGAGAGAAGATTGCCCTGCCTTTTCTCCTGTGTAGCTGCTGTGTTGCTTCGAAGAACCAACCTTTTTGGTTAATAGCCTAGCTCTCAACTATTGTGCCACCAGGTTCATTATACCTAAATTCTCAAAACCCGAACATATGGCTATCTGACTCCTAGCTGACCCTCCAGCAGGTTTTCAGGAAGCTGTAAATCACATGGGAAGAGACTGTCCATCTTCCTGCTTCACAGTCACTGGGGGATTCCACCCCGCAGGGAGGAGTGGTCTTTGAGGTACAACACAACTCCCTAGACTAGGCCTGCGATCCTTTTGTCGAAATTGTTGTTGTACATTGTCTTTGAGTCCGAACCGACTCCTAGCTGACCCTCTAGAGGGTTTTCAGAGGTTATAAATAGCACAGAGGAGATTGTCCATCTTTCTCGTGTGGAGCAGATGCTGGATTCAAACCACATGCCTTTCTTTGGGTTCGCAGCACAACTTCTTATCACTAAGACACCAGAGGCCCATAGATAGACATGTTGTTATTGCTGTCATGTACCATTGAGTTGGAACCCGCTCACTGGTGACCTTTCAGTGGGTTTTCAGAGGCTGTAAATCGTCCAGGAAAAGACTGCTTATCTTGGGCAGCTGGTGGATTAGAACTTTCTGCCTTGTATTTAGCAGCATAGCTCCTTACCAGTAATTAGGCCACTAGAGCTAACTGTCCAAATTTTTGTGGTTGTTAAGTGCCACCAAGTTGACTGCGACTCATAATGCTGACCATCTTCACAGTAGCTCTTAATTCTGCCCTATCCTGAGCCACACACCTAACCTCATTACCCCAAATTACTGTCTCAATCTGTTTTGTCCAAAGTCCTCCTCTCCTGCGCTGTCCCTCCATCCTTCCACGCATGATGTCCCTCTCCAAGAACAGGTCCCTCCTGGCAACATGCCCAAAATAGGTATGATGGAGCCTCAAAATCCTTGCCTCTAGGCAACAGCTTGCTTTCACGCTCTCCAGAACAGACTCATTTGTTCTTTTAGCAGTCCATGATACATTCAGTACTCTTCTCCAGCACCACATCTCAAAGGCATCAGTTCTTCTTCTGTCATCCTTAATCATTGTCCAGCTCTCTGACGTATAGCAAGTAATTGAAGACCATGGCCTGGATCAGGTGCACCTTAGTCTCTCGACTGACATTGTTGCTCTTCAGCACTCTGGAGAGGTCCATGACAGCAGATTTCCCCAATATAATTTGTCGTTTCATTTCCTGACTGCTGGTGTTAAGCGTGTTGATTGTGGAGCTGAGCAAGCTGTAACTTGTAACAACCTCACTCTCCTCTCCATCCATCACGGTGCGGCCAACTATCTAAATTAGTTGTACTCAAATGGCCCTTTTCAAAAGGGACGATCCAAAGATTTGGGCTGAGAGATCAGAGAGCAGGATGGGTTAGGTGACCCATGTGAACACCTTGCAGCCTCACGAGGAGTGTGCGGTGCTGCGACAGGAGCTCAGTGTTGGGAAGGCAGAGACTTCCGGTCAGCCAAGGGCTCTGGGTCAGCCTAGGCCTTGGAGAACACACCCAGAGCCCGAGCGCCCCCTGCTGGAGGAGGCTTGCCCCGCCGCGGCCTCGTTCCGGTCCTTGCCTGGCCGCCCCGCCCCATGCAGGCTCACTCCGCAGGCCTCGGGGCGGAGCGACGCGCGCAGGAGGAGGGTGCTGCGCGTGGCGTCTGACCAATGAGGAGGCGCGGTGAGGGCGGTCGGCTCCGCAGACGCGGCCCCTTACCCGAACGTCCCTTCCCTGAAATCCGCGCCCGCCGCGGGCGCTATTTATTGGCTTTCTCGCTGGCCAGTGAGACCCTTTGCTGCTCAGCGCGGGAACCATGGCCGAGCTAGGCGCACTGGGCGGTGGCGCTGGGAGTCCCGGGACCGCCGAGTTTGCTCTCCAGATGGCTGTGACCGTGTTCAGGAAATTGAAGGTGCCGTTGGCTGGGAGAGAGCCCCAGGGAGGGAGCGGGCTGGTGGGCGAGGTAGGGGCGGCGGGCCACGAGGCCCGGGTTGGCTATCCAGCCGGGCCATCTCCCCGCGATGGGGCACTCCTCCGCGCATTGCCGTGACCCGGCTCGATCGGGCACGACCATGGCCTGGACACTAGAAGCACTCTGATCCCAAGGGGCATGGGACAGTCCTATCACAAAATTTTGGGGGTCTCTGGTGACCTAGTGGTGAAAAGCTACGCTGCGATCCCTAAAGAACGCGGCTTGAATCTACCAGTTGCCCCGCGGGAGAAGGGGAGAAGGCGGGGCAGTCTCCCCTCGTGCGAGTAAAAACCCACTGGATGGTCAGCTATAAAACTCGACTGGGGACATCTCGTGGCCCTAGTGGTAAGGAGTGTGTTGACAACTCAGAGGCATATGATTCTAATCCGTCAGCTTCTCTGCACGAGAAGGGTGGGTAATTTCCTCCCATATGATTTACTGCCTGGGAAAACCCGCTGGCCAGTCAGCCAGGGGTCTCTTCTGGGAAGGGAGTGGCAGCCAGAGGCCAGGTAGCAAGCCCACCTGCGCACTCTCACACTCTTGACCCCTCCTCGCTCCTCTCGAGACGCCCCGCCCCACTGTGCTCTTCCCACTCTTCCCTTTCGTGCTCCACCCTCCGGCCTGGCTCCTCCGTCGCCTGCCCCCCCCCCCATTTGGTCTCCTAGCCCGAGGGTCTGTGTGGAAGGCCAAGCGGGCTTCCTCCAAAGCCCTGCCTTCGGTGCAGAGCTGCGCTCACGGAAAGGAGGCAAGGATGATGGGCTTTGGGGTGGTGACAGTCGTGGGGATGTGAGTAGGAAGGGCGGCAATGTCAAACTCCCTGGCGCTGTTCCCTCTCACAGAACCTAGACTGCCCCTTCCTCATTGGGTTGCAAGTCTCGGAGCCACAGACGATCCAGGAACTGCTTTGCAGCCCCTCCAAGTACCGTCTGGACATCCTGGAGTGGCTGTTTGTCCGGTAATACCCTCCTCTTCCTCGTCCCACACTCAGATCCTCCCCGGGACCCAGGGAGACCACCAATGCAAACCTCCTGTTGCAGACTGCACTACGACTCAACAAACAACCGCTGGGTTTCGGAGGAAACTGCCCACCATTTTCCCGCAGAGCAACTGCCCTCGGTTTGCAGCCCCATTCTGTGCGCACACCACGAGGTCCTCACTCTAGACCAGGGGTGGAGCGAACCGCTCTCCGGCCCCTAAACAAGAAATCAACAGTTGTGTGCGACCCTATGGGACAGGGTTTGTCATGTGCAGTCGCTCACTGGCTGCAGCCCACCCTCCCTGAAGGCCCGAGGTGAACGGTGTGCGCAGGGCGCCTGGAAGCCCCGGGGCTGGACGCTAGCTCGCCACCTAGTGGACATGCTGAGCTTGGCCCCTGAGTAGCCTTCAGGCTTGAGTGTGCCTCAGAGCCTTGCCTTCCAGGTTGGAGACCCGAACTGGCTTGAGGCTTGCTGTGGAATTGTGACCAGCAGGGACCTTGGCAGCCCAAGCCTGGCTTTGAGCGCTTGGGGAAGGCCCAGAAGGCCTATGGAGGCCTGTGGAGTGTGAGCAATGGGTTCCCTCTGACGCTAGTGGCAGCTGTCTTTCCAGTGCCACTCCCCTCCTCGCCCACCTATGGATAGGCAAACTTTCCAGGCCTCCAGAGGTGAGCAGGAGGATTTGGAACTCCCCATTGGGCAGGAGTCTAAACCCTTTTGGGAAGTCGGTCAGCTTTGGAGAACTGGGGCAAGTGAACTCTCTTGTGAGCAGCCCTGTTGTCCAGGGGCAGGGCTAACCATCTCCTCTTCCTGTCTGAAGGAGGTGTTCAGGCAGATGGTGGCCCTGATGGTGACTGAGGCCACCCGTGGCTGCTCAGGCCTCAGGTTCTAGCCCTCAGAGTCCCAGCATGATGACGCTTTGTGGCCAGGCTCTCAGGCATCGTGTTTAGGGGCTTGAGGAAGCCACATGGCCAGCCCAGATATTGCCTGGACCTGTCCTTCCTGCAGGCTTGGGACTCGGAGTCCCCATGTGTTCTTGTAGCATGGAATGAACAGGCAGGAGTCCTAATAAAGCTTTATGTACAAAAACTATGGACAGCTTGTGGGCCGGCCCTGCTTCAATACCCCACACAATGACATTTTTTTCATGCATGAAAGCCCCTCCCTCTGTTGAAAGCACTATGAACCCACAGTCATGGCAAAATGTTCTGGAGCGGCAGTGTGCTTCGGTCCCAGCACTTGCTGGCCCCATCCTGAGAAGGGAGCTTGATGGGCAGTCTGTGTCTGGGGACTGGCATGCCCACTTGGAACCAAGTCATATCATGCTTTAAAGGAAAGCGACTCTCATCCTTCAGAGAAAGGTGTTTTGAGCTGAGACCCCAGAGGTCTTTGCCCTTCATCTTCTGAGACGTTTGGAGAAGACCATGGGTGGGCACTCAGCTTCTGGGTGGCCTTTCCATCTGACTTGTCCTGTTGCTCCCCATAGGGTCTGTCCCTCCTTACAGGACAAGTTCAGCTGTCTGAAGGGGACCCAGACAGAGTGGAAGATCCAAGGTAGGTGTGCCCATGGGAACGACACCCTGTACTGCTGACCCCTCTGTCCAGGTGGGCCAGAGGGATCCCTTTCTCCTGGTCTGGGGTGCGCAATCAGCTGCCAGGTGAGAGCTGTGCAGAGGAGGAGAACCCTGGGTTTTGGGATAGCAGTAGCATGATTATGCAAAGGCATTTGACTGTGTGGACCATAACAAACTGTGGCTGACTCTGAGAAGAATGGGAATTTCAGAACACTTGTTCATGCTAATGTGAAACCTATACTTGGACCAGGAGGCAGTCGTCAGAACAGAGCAAGGAAACACTGCATGGTTCAAAATTGGGAAGGGTGTACGCCAGGGATGTGACCTATCTCCATACCTTTTCAATATATATGCAGAACAGATTATCCCATAGAGGCTGGGCTCTATGAGGAGGAATGTGGCATCAGGATTGGAGGAAGACTCATCCGTAATCTGTGTTATGCAGATGACACAACCCTGCTTGCTGAAATTGAGGAGGACCTGAAGCGCTTGCTGTGGAAGGTCAGAGACTGCAGTCTTCAGCATCGACTGAGGCTCAATATCAAGAAGACAAAGATTCTCACCACTGGGTCAATTGGCAGCATCATGATGGGTGGTGAAGAGATCTTGCGATTGTTCACAGTTTTGGTTTGCTTCGGTCCACAGTTGATAATCTTGGCACCAGCAGCCAGGAAATTAAAAGACGTATTGCAGTGGCAAAGTCTGCAGTTAGAGACCTCTCTAAAGTGCTGAAGTGCAACGATGTCAGTGTGGAGACTAAGGTGCGCCTGATACAGGCCATGGTCTTTGCAATCACTTGTTATGCGTCAGAGAACTGGACAATGACTAGGGAGGATAGAAGGGGAATTGATGCCTTTGAGCTGTGGTGCTGGAGAAGAGTATTGAATATACCATGGACTGCTAAGAGAACAAACAAGTTTGTCCTGGAAAGGGTGAAGCCGGGCTGCTCCTTGGAGGCAAGGACTCTGAAGCATTGTCTGACATACTTTGGACATGTTGCAAGGAGGGACCGGTCCTTGGAGAGGGACATCATGCTTGGGAGGGTCGAGGGACAGTACAGGAGAGGAAGACCCTCGATGAGATGGATTGATTGAGTGACTAGGGTAATGGGGTTAGCTGTGTCAGAGATAATAAGATTGGCACAGGATAGAGCAGGGTTTAGGGCTATTGTATATAGGGTCACTATGAGTCTCAGGCAACTCGACGGCACAATAACAACAACAGTAGCATGATGCTCTAAGATGGACACTTTGGCGAGAACCAGTGGGGTATTTGATTGTGAAGGAGTGTTGGGAGGAACATAGTTCTAAGTCATACAGCATTCTTCTGTCAGTTTGCTGTACTGAGATAACCTGCGGTGGTTGTGTTGCTGAACCTTGTGCCTTTGGGGTGTTAAATGCCATAGCAGTTGCCTATAGTGGACGGTGATTGACGGAGCTCCCAGTTTAAGACAGGTTTGGAAGCAGGAGTAGCATCCACTTCCTAAACAACATGCCTCTGGAAACTCTATGAACTTAGAGAAACTATGGCAGGTATAGAAAGGCTTCAGGCCTTTTGTTCTTAGGGTCACTCTGAGTCATGGAGCGCCTGACCCTGTGGAAGGGACGCGTGCTCTGGCTCTGGAAGCCAGAAGTCTGAATTCGGTGGCAGTAACAGGATCCTTTTGCTCTGACAGAGATGGTGAAACTCGGCCAAGAGCTGATGCTGTGTGGGCCAGAGGACCAGGACCTCGTGATGGTGAGAGGGGACCCCACACAAGGGACGCTGGTGGGTGTGGGTCTCTGGTGTAGAAGGTCCAAGCAGAGAGGCAAAGTACTTCGCTGGCCAGTGATTGTCACGCTGGGAAATAGGTGACAGATGGTGTAGCACTATCCCCGCTAACCCCAAGTGCTCCCTTCCACATGCTGGGGGAGCACCTCCCACTATCAAAAAGCTCCCAGTAGTCTTGCAGAGCTTTGAGAAATCTTTAAAATGTGCATGGGTTCACAGGAGGTTGTAGGAAATAGCTGGGGAGGTGGGGGCCCTCTTCTCTGAGTATGGTCCCACAGTCAAGTCTATACGGTGTGTGTCTGTGTGTGCACTTATATGCAGAATCATGTGGCCAGGATTCCAGTCATAGCACAGACCCCTCTGCTGCTATTTTAGAACCCACCTCTCAGTCCTGGTGACAGTGGAGTTAAAGCATTTAGTGATGAATCTGGCGAAGCTTCACAGCCTTGGGACCACTTGGTCCCGCAAGGTCACTCGAAATCGGAACCGACTCCATCCCGTGCGCTTGAGTTTTGGTCTAGTGTTCAGTTGTAGCCCCCAAGTGGGTTATACCCCTTTACTCCTCTGATATGGCCTGTGCATGCGCCACGAGGACCCCTCTCCTTCAGCTCCTTGCTCCCCAGTGGCCCCAAGAGTGCTCTTCCGGCTAGGCAGCTGGGTAGTCACGGGGTGGAGAAGTGCTGGGAGCCCTCCAGCTTTGCACCGTCAGCTGAGCCTGGGCATGGTCAAGTCTGGCTTTCAGGGATTCCTTCTGGATCTTTCCAGAGTGCCCTTGTTGAGTTTGGCCCTTTCACGCTGTCCTGAATCCCGCGGGTCCCTGAGTCAGGGCTGGGCTGCAAGCGGGCTTCCCTTTGCAGGGCTGTGCTTGTGCCCAGAGGCAGCTGTATTTTATGGACCAGATGCTAGATGCCATCCAGGGCCTGGACCTCTGCTGCTCCCCTGGCTCCAGGTAAAGGGACGGGCGGTCCCCGGCATGCCAGTGAACAGGAGTCCTTGGCCCACTTGCCTCCTGGCCCACACTGGACCCCAAAGCTGAGCTGGTGCTAGAGGCTCTGGCTGGGCACCAAGTCCCAACACCCCCATTTTCCCAAGGGAGCCTAGACCCAGCCCCAGGGCTCATGGGCTAGTGCTGAGCTGCGCAGGCTCTGGATCAAGCAGGGCCTGTGCTTTGCAGTGCCGAGCAGCACTTCCGCGCTACTAGAGAGAAGAACCAAATGCTGCTGGGGGACCTCCTGTCCGACCCCAACCTGCAGACACTCCTGAGCCCTGAACGTGACCTGTGGCCCATGGAGGGGCAGGACCTCCTTGACCAGCAGCAGTAAGCTTCGCTCCGTCTGGGCCTGGCCCTGGGGTGGGGTCCTCAGCGTGCTGGCAGCGTGGGCTGACCAGTGCCTTCTCCCGCAGGCCAGGCCTCTGTTCGGAGCAACAGGAGGAGAGGGAGCTGGCGGAGCTGGTCCTGCGGCTGCAGGAGAGCACGGCCAGGCTGCAGGCCCTCCAGGCCCAGGTGCACCCCCGGAGTGGTAGCTGTCCTGAGATGGGGAGGCAAGGAGGCCTAAGTGAGGTGCGGCCTGTGCGGGGTTTAGAATCCTTGACGCACAAACTCGTTACCGAGGTGAGATTCGGGCAGTGGACTGCACTAGCGGGGATTCTCCTGGTCCAGTGACGGGCCCGCCAGGCCCTGATGCGTGTTGTCTGTGCTGACCCCTGCTTCCTTGCTGGACTGACCCTGAGGTCGGGGGTGGCTTCCAGAAGCGTCAGGTCCTGTTCCAGGGCTTTCTCTGCCCCTCTCTGCGGCTCCTTGCCTGCTGCCTGCTCCGGAATCCTTCGGCCCAGCTTGGCTGTGGCCAATGCAGCCAGGAGCTACCCAGGGGAGGAAGGTACTGGGTGCCCCAGGAGCTAGCAGCAAACGGGCCACTGGTTTGTTTGGCAGCACTTCCCTCAGCATAAGGAAGGGGCTGCAGTGGCTGCCGCCGACCCCAGCACTTTGGAACAGAGGCTGCGCCTAGTCGTCTCCGACTTCCACCAGCTCATGCTAGCCTTTCTCCAAGTGTATGGCGATGAGCTGGGGGAGTGCTGTCAGCGCCCAGGTGCCCACCTCCACCCTTGTGGTCCCATCATCCAGGCTGTCCACCAGGCTCTGACTTCCTGCCAACAAGTAAGAGCTCCTCTTCCCTCCCCAGCTGTCCCCCGGCACTCAGGGGCAGCTCCTTTTGAGGGCCGTGGGTGGGAGTGGGTGGGTGACCTCAAGTAGATTGTCCCACTCTAGAGTGCCAGGACAGAAGGTCATTGGGACCCATGGAGGGCTGTAGTCTTCACGCCATTCCTCCGGTTTCATGCTTTGACTGAGAGCCAAACGGGGCAAGTCAGGGAGAAGCTGTAGCTTGTGTCAGGTCCCCAGATGCCACCCTAAAAGGAGACTTTCGTTAGGATTCTGTCTGCTGGAGTGGGCTAGGTGGCAGGCCCTGGAGGGTGGCCCTCAAGCTGGGTGGGGCTTAAGAGGGGGAGTTGAGAGGGGAGCTGTGCACTGAAACACTGGCACTCATACCTCCCTCCTCTGGCCCCACCCCGTCCTCCTTCCCAGATGCTAATGGCTGTTGTGGAAGTCACCGATGCCTCCATGAGGGCCATGGGCACAGTGGCCAAGCAGCACAGTGAGGCCCTCTGCTGGGACAGTGGCAGCTCTGTGATGAGTCTAGGTAAGAGGTCCCCTCCATGCCTCTAGAGCCACCCCATCAAGGCCCTGCAGTGCGTGGGCACTCTGATCTCCTGGCCAAGGTTTGCAGTGCAAAGGAAGCATCTGGGCCTTGCTTTCTTCTCATTCTTTGACATGAACTGACCTTGTTGGCCATCTGTCTCAGCACAATTCAGGGGCTCTCCTCACATTTAGGGCCTGGGGCACCCTCTTTCCCCTGCAGTGCCACCCTATTTCCCTGTCCCAAGCTCCAGGTCACTGCTACACAACTTTGGTCTCTGCGTCTGTCTGGTTGTGACAGTTCCAGTGTCGTGGTTTCGGGGGCTCACTGAGTCAAGGCATGTGGTGGTTTCATTTCTTTCCCTGCCGAGTGATGTTGCGTCATGGAGGACAGCACCTCACTCAGCCATTGGTGGGCACTGAGGCTGTTATTCCTGCTGCTGCCATGGACACAGGCGCTATTGTAGGCTTTGTAGGGCAGGGGCACCTGACCTCGGGCCTTCGTGAGGGCCAGTGAGCCTTCCAGCGTCAGCACTGACTCACCACGTCAGCTGCGCTGACGGGAGGTCAGACATGCCTCAGCCTGCGTCCCTGTCTTCTAGTTTTGACCTCAGCTGTTCCTCCCCGGGTGGGCTCCTTGTCTCTGCAATGGATAATGCTAATGCTTTTGGAGTTTCTTAGGAAAGGTCTAGGTTACAGTTCAGGATCAGGAACTCTCAGGATACAGTTCTTTAGTCAGGACATCCTGTCTCGACTCTGCCCACAAGCAGACCTGTGTCTGACTTTTGACCTTTCAGCCTGTCACCCCAGCCCTGCTATAGAAAATGCAGGGAACTTGTCAGCCCCTCCAGAGAGCACCCTAGCCATGGCGGGATAGGCCACGTAAAAGGGGCCCATCATACACTGGGGGAAACTTGCTGGGCCATGTGACGAGCTCTCTGACTTGAAGACCTGTCAAATGGTTTCTGTTTCATTTTGTTAATTTTAATTTATTGATTTGATGGATCTTATTGAGGTAAGAGGGACATCATGTTTGGCAGAGTAGAGGGACGGCAAAGGAGAGGAAGACCTTCGATGAGATGGATCGATTCTGTCACTGGAGTGGTGGGAATAAGTGCGTTTGAGATGGCGAGGTTGGCACAGGATAGAACAGCGTTTAGAGCTCTTGTACATACGGTTGCTATGCAAGCGACTCAATGGCACATAACAACAACAAGAAGTTTTTTTCATTTTTTAAATTTTATTTTTCTAACGAACAAAATTTTCCTTCCCTTGAGAGGGAGGAATGCCCTTGACAGATTAAAAAAATAAAAGCACAAACTGTAGAAAATAGAGATGATGAGAGAGAAAAATGCCTTCCAAGATGGCCTCCAGCCTGTGCTGCGGTTGGATTTCTTTCATCCACTGAGCGTAATCATCCTGTCTGACCTATTTTCTATGAGGCTCCCTCTTCTGGCCTCATTAACAGTGTTTTCTTGTTCCCTAAGTAACACTGAATGGTGACACGCTAGTCCAGTCCGAGTTTTTGCTATGATTTCTTCTGCTCTTTCGCCGAGCCTCCACCTTTCCAAGCGTGATGTCTCTCCCCAAGGAGTAGCCTCTTCTAGCAACCTGCCCAATGTATGTGAGGTGAACAGAGCACTCTGGCTGCACCCTCTCTAAGACATCCTATTGGTTCTTTTGACAGTCGATGGTATGTTCAAGGTTCTTCTCCAGCACCACAGCTCAAAGGCATCAATTCTTCTTCTGCCTTCCTTAGTCATTGTCCAGCTCTCAGACATATAGGTAGTGACTGGGAAGACCATGGCCTGAATCAGTTACTCCTTAGTCTTCAGCTAACATCATTGCTCCTCAGTAATTTAGAGAGGTCTCTGACAAGACTTTCCCAGTACAATACATCTCCTGATCTCCTGACTGTTGTTTTAAAGGTGTTGATTGTGGATCCAAGCAAGATGAAATCGTTGACAAATTAAGTCTTTCCCCATCTGTAATGATGCTGCCTATGGTCCAGTGGTGAGGACTTTTGTCTTTGTGTTGTTGAGATGTAATCCAATCTATAGAAGGCCATATAGTCTTTGATCTTCTTCAGTTAAAAGTCTTCACTTTTTGCAGGCAAGGTTGTGTCATCTATATAACGCAGGTTATTGAAGAGTCTTCCTCCAATTCTGATGCCACATTCTTCCTCATAGAGTTCAGTTTCTCAAGTGATTTGTTCAATATATAGATTTAATTGTTGTTGTTATGTGCTGTTGAGTTGCTTGTGACTCATAGCGACCCTATGTACAACAGTCCTAAATCCTGCTCTATCCTGTGTCAACCTTATTGTCTCTGATACACCTACCCCCGTTATTCCAGTCACTTAGTCATTCTGTCTTATCCAGGGTCTTCCTCTCTTGCACTGTCCCTTTACCCTCCCAAACATGACATCCCTCTCCAAGGACCGGTCCCTCCTTGCAACATGCCCAAAGTATGTCAGACAAAACTTCAGAATCCTTGCCTCCAAGGAGCAGCCTGGTTTCACCCTCTCCAGGAAGAACCTGTTTGTTCTCCTAGGAGTCAATGGTATATTCAGTACTCTTTCCAGCTTTCTGATGCATAGCAAATAATTGTGATGACCACGGCCTGATTCAGGAAACAACCCTGACCCACATCTTTCCTGACTTTAAAACCATGCAGTGTTCTCCTGTTCTATTTGGACATCTGTCTAGGTATAGCTTTCACATAAGCACTATTAAGTATCCTGGAAGTCCCATTCATCTCAATGTTATCCATAATTTATTATGATCCACACAGTCAGATGGCTTTGCATAGTGACGAAAACACAGGTAAACAAACATCTTTCTGGTATTTTCTGCTTTCAGTCAAGGTCCATCTGACGTCAGCATTGATATCCCTGGTGCCCTGACCTCTTCTGAATCCAGCTTGCATTATGTGGCATTTCCCTCTGAATGTTCTGTTGCAACCATTTTTAAATAATCTTCAGCAAACTTTTTCTTGTATGTGGTATGAAGGACATTGTTTGCTGACTTTGTGCATTAGATTGCTGGATAAATAGTTCTTAAAAGAGCATAGTGCTCAAAACATTCTCTTTCCTGTTGCTTGGTTTTTCAGAGGATAGTGTTGCTTTGAGGTTTAAAGGTGGTTTCAGGGCAGTAGTTTCAGGGGTTCTACCCTCAACGGTTCCAGAAAAGTCTGGAATCCATGAGAATTTTAAATTCTCTTCTATATTTCCCCCATTTTGATTAGGATTCTTTCATGCTATAAGGTTTTTTAGGAAGTCATCCTAGGGCAGAATTATTGCTTCGCGGGTAAGTGTTCAGAATCTTCACTATTGGTCAGTATTGCCAGATTGTCCCTCCTGTGTGCCCGCCTGCACACGCACACAGTGGGTGGTGTTTCTATCTTGCATATCTCTGATTACATCTTTTCCTTCACTAATTGATCACTGACATTTTCTTTTTTGTGAAGGGCCTATTCCATTTTGACTCCCCTTTCTCCGGAGTTGCATCTCTTCTCTGATCTGTAGCCCGTTTTATCTTGGGGATACATATCCTTGGGTGCTCTTTGAAGTACAGAGAGAACGTTTCCACTATGTGGCTTTTATTGTCATGCCTTTTCTGTGACCTTTTACTGTACAGTAGCTTTGACCTAGTGGTAAGAAGCTGCCCTGCAATCCCGAAGGCACGTAGTTCGAATCCATTAGTTGCTGTACAAAAGAAGGATGACCAGTCTCCTTTCATGCAATTTACAGCCTCTGAAAACCTGCTGGAGGGTTAGCTCGGAGTCAGCTTCTGCTTGACAGCACTTAATGATAACAGGTTTATCTGACCTTTCCTCCAGGTAGAGAAGACATACTTCTCTATTCCACCATCATGAGGATAGTGTCAGGTGTTATTTTCCAGAGATTTCTAGCATCATTTCATATTATGCCATTATTATGCTTAAACTGAATTTACGTGTGGTGCGATGGGGCCCTAATTTCATTATATCCTGTGTGGATACACAATTATTTGGAAATACATGCACCCCTCCATTGACCTCTGTATTAAAAAATGTGGCTTTTAAAGTTCTCTTCCAATTTTCTTTGATTCCTGAACCACTAACAGAAATTAGAACACAAACAGTAAAACAAACTCAATGAAAGACAGTAAAACCAACCTTCTCATCTTTTCTCCCTTTATAATAATGCTTTTCTTGCTGTATGTGCCGTCCTGTCGCCTGTGACTCATAGCGACTCTGTGTACGATAGCTCTGAGGTCTGCCCTGTCCTGAGCCAGTCCCACTGACCCCGACACACCTGCCCCACTGCCGCAGTTACTGTACCAGGAAATCAAAAGACAAATTGCATTGGAAAAATATGCTGTCAGAAACCTCTCAGGGGCAAGAATGTCAGACTAGAGACTAAGGTGCACCTGATCAAGGCCATGGTCTTCACAATTCAATTGATGCCTTTGAGTTGTGGTGCTGGAGAAGAGTCTTGAACATACTGTGGACCACCAAGAAAACAAACAGGTCTGTCTCGGTGAGGGTGAAACCAAGTCTTTCCTGGAGGCTAGGGTTTTGAAGCGCCATCTGACATACTTTGAGCACGTGGCCAGGCGAGATCGGTCCTTGGAGACGGACATCATGCTTGGAAGGGTGGATGGACAGTGCAGGAGAGGAAGACCCCGCATGAGATGGATTGATATACAGTTATAACTATATTGATACATAAATAACATCCTGTAAATTTCACCTATTAAAGTGTTCATTTCGGTGTTGTTTTGTGTTCTACGCTTGTTAACCATCACCCTAGAAGGTAACCTCCTAACCACTAGCAGTCAGTCCTCTTTCCTCTCTGCTCTAAGCTCCTAGCAACCACAAATCTACTTATTAGTTCTATGGATTGGCCTCTTGTTGACTTTGACGGCAATAGGATACTGAGAGCTCTGGGTTATTCCTTGTATGCTTCCGTTATAGTCCATGGTACAGATGGATCCATCGATTGGTGAACGTTTGGGTGGTTTCCGCTTTCTGGCTATTGTTAATATATGCCGTGTTTGGTACAGTGACAATGAGTCACTGACAATGAGTCATTTCTGTCTTCTTTTGATGCTTCCTGGGTCATTCAAGATTTTTCCCAGGGGTTCATTCCGTCAGTATTGCAATGCAGGTCTTGAATTTTGTGTTATTTCTGCTTGAGAAATGTGGAGTGTGTTGTCCCTTTTGAGTTTTTAACTCCATCTCTTTGCATTTTTTTTTGCTGTGTCTTCTTGAGCTGCCCTTTGAAATCTTCTGTTCGGTGCGCCGTTGCCCCCACCTTTCTTGGGACATCGTATTGTGGTTTGGGTGAGGGTTTTGTTTCATGACAGTATAACAGCACTCTTCCTCACCCCTCCCTGAATCCCCTGTTTCCATTTGTCCCTCCTTCTTGCCTATGAACTTAGGTTTTGGGAAAACACTTCCCATTTGGTCTTGTTTGTTGTTCTGTCTGTTGTTCGGGTGTACCCTGATGCCCGAGAATGGGTTCCATTCCAGGTTGGGGTGCCTGAGGGCCACAGTCTTTGGGGGTCTGAGACTGTCTTACTACCTCCTTTCTTCCTGACGTACAGTTGTGTTGAACACAGAATGGCAGTATTTTTTGATACACACCCCCGTCTCCTCCACGGCCTCTGGTTATCTAATCGAGGATCCCTGGGAATCGAGGGGTCACTTCTGTCTTGGTCGCTGTCTTTTGACAGTTTGGTTACAGTCTGTCTCGGTGTAGCTCCTGCTTGGCTTCTCAGTCATGTGTTTCGTCACCACATTGTTTCCTGCTGGGCTTGATGCCGAGCTGTCATGGCATCAGTGGCGAGGGATTCTTCAGAGTCTTGGAATTATCAGAGCTTTTCCAAGGCTTTAGCCTTTGAGTTGCTGAGTCAATTCTGACTGACTGTGACCCTGTAGGACGCAGTGTTTCAAAGGCTGTAGTCTCGATGGAAGCCGTCCTTCTCGCCTTCCCTTCTGTCTGTGGAGCAGACCTTCCGGTTAACCAGCACACGATGGTTCCCTTCCAGTCGGTTCTGACTCATGACGAACTTACAGTGGATTTCCCAAGCAAACCGTAATGGGAGTAGAAAGCCTTGCCTTTCTTCTGCAGAACAGATGGTGGGTTCACACCACCGAGACTTTAGCTAGCAGCCAGTGCTCAGCCTGCACTCCGGCCTCCCCGGCTCCGGCCTCCCCGGCTCCGGCCTCCCCGGCTCCGGCCTCCTGCGGCTGCCACGTGGATACCACGTGCTCGGCCTGCATGCTCCCTGATTGATCCTCTGGCATTTCCACTAATCACCACTGTCACCACACGGCTGCTGCCAGTGTATATAATTGCTCTTAACGAGATCCTTCCCATCCTTGCACTCTGCACTCGTTAACATAATCGCTGTTGTTACTACTTGTAGCCGACCGCCCTGCACTTCCCTCATCTGCCTTCCACCCCGGGTCTTGTCCTGCCAGCGCTTGCTGCCTCAGTGGGTCTAGTGGTTGGAGGGAGAGGGTGGTACGGACACTGCTGGGTGAGGTGACGACTCCCCTTGGGCATCGTACATGTGAGTCCAGCAGAAGTTTGGCACCAGTCTGGGGAGCTGAGCTGCAGGAGAATGGGAGTGGAGACAGCCTTGCTGCTGTGCAGGGGGCTTGGCCCACGGGACTCCACAGGGCTGTCTGCCTTTGCTTTTCTCTGCAGCTGCCAAAATGCAAGAACTCTCGCAGCAGTACAAGCTCTTCAGTGAGGCCCAGCGCAAAGGCCCTGCCTAGGAGGTGTTAGAGCAGGAGGCAGCCACAACCCCAGTCCTGAGCCTGGAGCCTGACCCTCCTCAGAGAGGGGGAGCGGGAGGAGAGGATGGAGGGGGCAGAGAAAAGAAAACTCAGATTCTAAGAAATGGTCTCCGCCTGGTTTTTTTATTGCCTCCACGCCTCCCTCTGCTGGTCACTGTTGGGTCTTCCACCTCTGCTCCGAAGCCCCCTTGCCTTCGCTTCCTGTGTGCACCCCACCTCTGCGGGCCCCTAGCCCAGCTCTCTGCACCCACACCACAGTGCTTCCGGCACCTGCTCAGGCAGGCTCCCTGGGCGAGGCTGCTTCCTTCTCTTCCTTCCCAGACTGCTCAGTGCCAGCTGGAAAAATCTTGGGGTCACCTGACTGGTTGTCCAGGAAGCTGCTCTGAGCTTCCCAAGTGACCCAGTATCTCCCTGAGCAGTGTCCCTGTCACAGCCACCTCCCTTCTCTGAGCAAGGGACAGTCTCGCTTCCTCCCAGCCTGCAGCCTGCCCATTCAGCCTGTTCCCACCCCCTGCCATTTGTGTCTCCAAATCTCCTTGGCGGCCAAGCCCGGAAACAAGACCATCCGGCTCCCAAGGCATCCCCTGCCTGCTGTCCCATGAGGCGGGAAGGCAGATGGGCTTGGAGCCACTGTGGTCTTGGCATAAGGTATGCCAAGTGCTGGGGCAGGTTCCTCTGGGCCTGGGAGGTCCTTGCTGTCCCCTTCCTGCAGGGCCCTGGGCTGGGGACTGGTGAGAGCTCATGTCCTGGCGGACTCCTAGGTTCAGCCACTCCATCTTGACTGGAAGGGCCACTTAGTCGTGGTGGCCCAGCTCCTGGGAGCCCCGGTTCTCCGCCTCCCCCATCTGGCTGACTGGCAGCCTGACAGTGGTTAGAGCTGATAGTCATTAAGCTTCTGAGGCAGAGAGCATCTCAGCCTGGCGGGACATGAGCCCTGGAGGTGGGCGAGCCACTGGGCAGCCTCTGTCCCCATTCATAGGTAGAACAGTGTCGGTGCCATCTCCCCCTGAGCCCATGTCACTCACATGCAGAGGGCAGCTTGATGCCCAGGGTGGACAGGAGATACAGGGGCAGAAAAGGCGAGCCTGGGCGGTGGCCATGGCCTCCCTGGCGGCTCCCGCTTCCTCCTGTACCTGTGATGACACGTTCCTGCACCCAGCACCCAGCGTGGCATGAGCACCTGTGTGGCCCTGGAGCCAGATCCTCGCTTTGTAAACATGGGGGGTTGTCCCAGTGGCTGTGAGCAAGCGAGGGAGGGGGTGGCGAGCCGGCCCCACTGGTCCTGCTGCCCAGTCGTTGCCCAACAGACAGCTGGGGGCGGGCTGTGGCCGATGATTAAAGGCCGAGGGAGCAGCCCGCAGAGGACAGGTGCCCTGCGACCAGGAAGCCGGCCGGCGCCCACCCAGGTAAGCGGGCGGCTGTATGTATGTGTGTGTGTGTGTGAGGGGCGCTTGCTGAGGCTTTGTCTTCCCAGGTCCCCTGGGGGACCCTCACTGAAAGTCTCTTTGGCCTCTCCCTTTCCAGACACAGGATGCCGGCAGAGGGGAGAGGACACTGGTGCCTGGACAAAGGCAGGCCTGCCTGTACATAGGCAGGGGTCCTGGGTGCGGGGTGGGGGCTTGCGTCAGGTTTCAGCACAGTACCTCTTTAACTGCCATGTCACTGAGGCCAGTGGCTGACCCCTGTGAGTGACTGCACAGCTCAAGGGCCAACCGGCTGGTGGAGGCCTCGCCCTTCGGGCGTTCTCAGCTTCGTGTCCTTTCCTGTAGCAGCTCCGTGAGCACACCACCATGTCTGAGACACCCCGGGCTAAGACTTTTGTCTTCATGGACCTGGAAGCCACTGGGCTTCCGAATGTGGACCCGGAAATCGCCGAGATATCCCTGTTCGCTGTCCACCGCTCCTCCCTGGAGAACTTTGTGCGGGATGACAAAGGCATGCCAGTGCTGCCTCGGGTCCTGGACAAGCTCACCCTCTGCATGAGCCCACAGCGCCCCTTCTCGGCCAAGGCCAGCGAGATCACAGGCCTGAGCAGCGAGGGCCTGGCGCGATGCCAGAAGGCCAGCTTCGACGGCGCCGTGGTGCGCACCCTTCAGGCCTTCCTCAGCCGCCAGGAGGGCCCCCTCTGCCTCGTGGCCCACAACGGCTTCGATTATGACTTCCCACTGCTGTGCACAGAGCTGCAGCGTCTGGGCGCCCATCTGCCCCCAGACACCATCTGCCTGGACACACTGCCGGCACTGCGGGGCCTGGACCGTGCCCACAGCCATGGCACTCGGGCCCAGGGCCGGAAGGGCTACAGTCTGGGCAGCCTCTTCCACCGCTACTTCCAGCTGGAGCCCAGTGCTGCCCACTCGGCAGAGGGCGATGTGTACACACTGCTCATGGTCTTCCTGCACCGCGCGGGGGAGCTCCTGGCCTGGGCAGACGAGCAGCCCCACCACTGGGCCCACATTGGACCCATGTATACCCCTCCTGAGCCCCTGAGTCTGCATGACTGAGCGCTGTGCCCACCGGTCTGCGTCCCTCCAGCTGGCCTCCTGGGCCTGGACCCACTGGAGAGGTCTGCAACACGCCAGCCTGCCTGAGTCGCTGGGTGCGTGACAAGCCTCCCCCATCTCTAGAACCTTTTTCCCCCTCCCTGGAGCCCACTCTGCGGGCCAGCCTGGGCACTCCCAGCACTTGGCTAGGGCTGTGGGGCTCCTGCTTCTCATCCTGTCTCAATAAACTTTGCAACTGACTCCTGCCTCACCTGCCAGTGCCCCAGAAGTACCCCATTTGGTCCCTGAGGTCAGCTCAGGCCAGAGGGAGGAGGCTAATATCCTTTGCTCAGCAATGCCAGTTCCAGCTGGGCCCAGTGTGCCAGGGAGGGGACTGGAGAGCTGCTGCCTTCTCTGCTCCACTGGCCAGCCGGGACTCTGGGGTGCACACGTATCACGGGAGGTCCTGGGCTGCAGGGTGTGAGGATGTCTTCCAGTGGGTAGTCATGTGCTGAAGCCAGACCCATCCGGCTCTATCCAACATGCCAGCTGACCTGGAGCTGCTCACGGCTGGGCCTTGGGGAGCTGAGGGCACCCCGCAGGAGGGAGGCAGGCTAAGGGAGGAGGGAGTGGAGTGGCCACTCCCCCAGAGTGACTCTTGGTCAAGCCCTGAACCAGCCAGGCCCGTTCAGGGACCCTAAGTAGGTCAAGAGGGTGAGAGCACTGATGAGGGACATTATGGGGACTGAGGGTACCAGTGTCAGTCTAGGGTTCCAGCAGGGCCACATCCCCTTTATCTAACTGGCCAGACTCCACAATAGGGGCCTTGGCTGACACAGGCTGGCCTGGCCACCAGCTACATGAAGTGTATCTGACCCTCAGCAGTGACACTGCTGTGACGCCCAGCCTTGGGCTGTGGCTTCCAGTTCCTCCGAGTCTGCTCTCTGACTGCCTGGGGCTTCCATACTTTGCCACCTTCCTTCTTCTACACTGCTGACACCCCCACTCACGGGCACCCCCCACACACACACTGTGCCTCACATCCTGCCACCCCCTCTCGCACACTTCTCACTCAAGATTTTGCATATGTGGGATTTTATTGTTATTGTTGTTATGTGCCGTTGAGTCACTTGCAACTCATAGCGACCTATGTACAACAGCCCTAAACCCTGCCCTATCCTGTGCTAATCTCACTGTCTCTGACACACCTACTCCCATTACCACAGTCACTGAGTCAGTCCATCTCATCCAGGTCTTCCTCTCTTGCACTGTCCCTCCACCCTCTCCAAGGACTTGTCCCTCCTTGCAACATGCCCAAAGTATGTCAAACAGAGCTTCAGAATTCTTGCCTCCAAGGAGTAGCCTGGTTTCACCCTCTGTAGGATGAACCTGTTTGTTTGTTTTCTTAGCAGTCCATGGTATATTCAGTACTCTTCTCCAGCACCACAGCTCAAAGGCATCAATTCTCCTATCCTCCTTAGTCATTGTCCAGCTTTCTGATGCACAGCAAGTAAGTACAAACATTATGGCCTGGATCAGGCCCACCTTAGTCTCCAGACTGACATCATTGCTCTTCAGCACCATGGAGAGGTCTCTGATAGCCAACTTTCCCAATGCAATTAGTCTTTTAATTTTCTGGCTACTGGTACCAAGAATGTTGACTGTGGAGCCAAGCAAACTGAAGCTGTTAACTATCTCAATCTCATCACCATCTATCATGATGCTGCCAATCAGCCCAGCGGTGAGGATCTTTGTCTTCTTAATGTTGAGCTTCAATCCATATTAAAGGCTACCGTCCTTGACCTTCTGCAGCAAGCGCTTCAGGTCCTCCTCAGGGATTTTATTAGATGCTAATTAAAAACTTATAAACGCCTTTTGGCTTAAGAGTCTTTTTGTAGTTAATACTCTGTAGATTTTTTAATGTTATTATTTTCAGTTTGTGCAGTGTCTTTATATGAATTGTGCATAGTTTTGCCCATTTCCTCTGCAAGAATTGTTTTATACATTTCAATTGTCTTTTCAAACTCTAGCTGACCTCAACAGTGTCTTTCTCCTGCTGCGTTAACTTCAGTTCTCTCTTTGTTCACTTCATGTCACTGTCTTCCACCTCGCACAGTCTGTGGTGCTCTGTAGCTTGGCTAGTAAATGTTTCTCTTCCTGTTGCTATTAGTTGCTGTCAGTTTGGCCCCAACACCCATCTACGCATGACAACAGTGTGGCAGGTAGTCTGTCCTGTGTCATCTTCGTGAGGGCTGTGCTGGGCAGGACTTTCATTGGCTGTAGATCACCAGGCTGTCTTAGTCTGGAAGCCCCGCTGAAAGCTGTCTGCCATGACTGGTATTTGAAATATTGGTGGCATGTATTGTGATTACGCGCCATTTAGTCAACTGTGATTCCTGGAAACCTTATGAACAGTGGATGTGAGCCCTGCCCCATCCCACGCCATTCCCATAGTCTCTACACACTTGAGCCTATTGTCACAGTCATTGTGTCAGTCCATCTCACTGAGGGTCTTCCTTTCTTTCTCTGAACCTCCACCTTTCCAAGCAAGATGTCTTTTTCCTAACAACATGCCCAAAGTATGAGGGAAAGAATTTCACCATCTTTGCCACCAACAGGCACCCTGGTTATGTTTTCTCCAGGACAGACTTACTTGTTCTTTGGCAGTTCATGGGCTGTTCAGTGCGCTTCTCCAGCACCACAGCTCAAAGGCGTTAGTCCTTCACCTGTCGCACTCAGTCACTGTCCAGCTCTCAGAAGTACAGTAAGAGACTGGAAATCCCAGGGCCTGAGTCAGGTGCACTCGCGTCTTTACACTGACATCGCTGCTCTTAACTGGCAGAACTTCCAGGATCGCAAACTGACAGACGGTGGGAACACAGAACTCAGCCAGTGCCACGGAGCCAGAACCAAGCCACAGCTGAGTCTCCAGTGGCCTTCCAGGAGGCTGCAAATTGCACGGGGGGCTACCGCCCGTCTGCCTCCTGGGAGCTCTCACTGGATTTGAAATGCAGCTCCCTCTGGACTGGACCAGCTGTTGCTTTACATAGAGTGGCTGGTCTTTTGACTACCTCCTTGATCTAATGTTTGCACAGTACAGCTCAGCTTCGTTTCCTATGAGTTGGAATTCCGAGCTGTCTGCTTTGAGTTTCTAACTGTATGGAATAACAATCTGAGGTTGTGATGTTAACGTATTATTTTTAAAAAAATTTAAGAAGACTCATGAACAACCTACATTATGCAGATAACACAATCTTGCTTGCTGAACCTGAAGAAGACCTGAAGTGCTTGCTGCAGAGGGTCAAGGACTGCAGCCTCCAATATGGATTGAGGCTCAACATCAAGAAAACAAAGATTCTCACCACTGGGCCAATTGGCAGCATCAGGATGGATGGTGAAGAGATTGAGGTTGTCAGCAATTACAGCTTGTTCAGTTCCACAATCACACTCTTAATACCAGCAGTCAGGAAATCAAAAGACGAATTGCATTGGGAAAATCTGCTGTCATGGACCTCTCCAGAATGCTTAAAAGCAACGAAGTCAGTCTAGAGACTAAGGTGCTCCTGATACAGGCCATGCATGGTCTTTGCAATTACTTGCTATGCATTAGAGAGCTGGACAATGACTAAGCGTGACAGAAGAATTGATGCCTTTGAGTTGTGGTGCTGGAGAAGAGTTTTGATGTGGTTCACCCCCACCCCCAGAGATACAGAAAAAGGGTTTATTTGCGGGAAGAGGAGTCAGTCAAACAAGCTGAAGCCCATGTCGTCATTTGACTCCTCTGACTTCCTCCTTCTCTGCTGCAACGGGGTGGGGGTGGCAGAGCGGCAGGAGGTGCTGCAGAGTCAGGGGCTTCAGAGAAGGCTTAGCTCTGCAGCAATGACAAGGTGTGTGACAGCCTCTCACGCAGCCCAGCCTCCTTCTCTGATGACAAAGCGCCATCCCCGCTAGAGCGGCTGGGCCCTGAGTGTTGACTAAAGGGAGCAGATGCAGCGGTTTCTGCCCTCCCCCTCCTTTCCTTCAGTCCTTTTGAAAAGGCATTCCACTTCATTGTGCTTCAGATTTAGTAATTTTCTTTTACAATGGAAGGCTTCCAGCAACACTGCATCAAACAAGCCTATGGGCGCCATTTCCTCCACAGCCTGTGTTCACTCTGCCTCGGTGTCACATTTTGTTAATTCTGACAAAACTTTTTTCATTATGGCTGGGGTAATAGGGGCAGGTGTGTTGGAGACTGAGATTAGCTCAGGATAGGACAGAGTTCACGGCTATTGTGCATAGGTCGCGATGAATCACAGGAGACTCATGGCGCACACAACAACAACAACAACAACAACATGGCCACCCATGATTAGGAATCTTTGATTATTCCCAGTCTCTCCCTCTGCTTGGACCTTCTTACTCCCTGAGGCATGACGGTGAATTGAAATCAACCACTTAGCAATCTGGCCGTGGCCACTAAGTGGTAAAGCAGAATGACCAGTCAATTTTTAAAAAAATATTGCAGTGGTATTCCTGACCTTCAGCAACCTCTGCTCCAATTAGTGAGTGGTCATTGATAGCCCCTTGTAGGACCCTCCACTCGCAATGGGACTGCAAGTGGATAAAGCTATCTGTCCTGAGCCAACCCCGCCGTCTCCTACACACCTACCCTAGTCACTGAGTCAGTCCACCTCATCCAGAGTCCTCTCCTGCGCTGTCCCTCCACCCTCCCAAGCACTGTTCCCTCCTTGCAACATGCCCAAATCATGTCAGACAGAGCTTCAGAATCCTTGCCTCCAAAGAGCAGCCTGGCTTCATCCTCTCTAGGATGAACTTGTTTGTTCTCCTAGCAGTCCGTGGTATATTCAATACTCTTCTCCAGCACCACAGCTCAAAGGCATCAACTCTCCTTCTATCAAACCTAGTCATGTATTCAATACTTTTAGCAATAAAATATTTTAAAAATTAAAATATATGTTGGGATTAGAACCAAGAAAAAGTTTATGCTTGAAAAATTAAGCTAATCAGAAGCAGGAAGC